TGAAAGTAAACTGCCCCATCTTCCTTCTGCAGAGTGCCTGGTGAGTCTGAACTTCCAACCTTCTAGTTAGCAGTCAAATGGCTTAGGTACTGTGCCACCAGACTTCTCTCACTTATATATTTATTGTATATATTTAAAATACTGCATTTTAAGGCTTATCATAGTCTACTTGCTTTATGCCATGATTCTACTCCTTTTTGTCATCACACCACCACTGATGTCAATCAAGCCTGAGCAACTATCAACTGGATCACTGCCAAAGCTTCCTGACTGGTGTCCATGCCTCCAACTTCAAATTTTCTTCAATTCAATCTCTATAGTGTTGACAGTGACCTTCCAAAGCTAAGATTCCATCATTCCTCTGCTTCAAACTCTTTAATGGTTTCTCTGAGGCAAAGCATTTAGCACAGTAATGACTTATATACTCTAAAAACATTTCTTAATTGGTATCAGTATTTTAAAATTGAGAGATTTGTAAATAAATATCCATGTTTTCAATTTAGCTGTAAAACTCAGGTCAGGAACCGCAGGTCCCCAATTCCACGTGGTGCCATCTGATAAACCCTGAGTGGTAGCCCAGCCCTTTAAGTGGGGACAGTGCTTTCCTGTGTGCACAGTGCCCATGCTCCTACTTGTATCCCCAACACTGACACAGAACACCATTGGTATTTTATTAAAGGCTTGCACTGTTGTTTTACAGACAGTAGAGTTCAAAACAAAAAGAAATATTTCTGGGATGGTGCTACAAAAAATAGAAAAATAAAAAATAAGCCAAAAGGGTCTATCTTGCCTTATGAATTTATGCAACCTGGTTGGTCTCCTTAGGCATCTGAGTTAGTCACTGATGAACTATGAGACCCCAAACCATGCAGTCTTCTGTCCAGGGCAGGCCTACCATGCATGCCCTTACCCCGCCTATGCACCAGGCCTCATTTTGCTCTTCCTCTGCCACACTGCCACATTCCTTTGTGACCTCTGTCCCAGGCAGCATACCAAAAACCCTGCAGTCCTTGGAATGTACCAGAAGCTAATTAATATCTCTGAGCCTTTGTTGATGTCTCATAAACCAAAACCCCATTCACTGCTATCAAGTCAATTCCAACTTATAGCGACCCCCTTTGGGTTTCCGAAGTGGTATTTTTGCGGAAGCAGATTGCCCAGTCTTTCCGTGAAGTGGTTGGTGGGTTTGGACCATCAACCTTCTGTTTAGCAGTCAAATGCCTTAGGCATTATGCTGCCAGAGTTTCTCTGATGCCTCATAGTCTCCTTGAAATGTTCTCTTCTCTCAGATGTGTCTATGGGACACCAACTCAAGTCTCAGCTGAGATATCACCTTCTTTATGAACTTTTTCTTGTTCTTATCCTCTGCCTCCAAAGAATTGACCACTTCCTTCTACTGTGGCACTGAAACACTTTATTGTATTATTCATTTCATGTTTGTCATCTTTTCTGCTGCTGTGGAGTGCCACTGAGTAGATTTCAATTTCCAGCAACCTCACGTGACAGAGTAGAACAGTCCCATCAGATTTTCTTGGCTGCAACATTTATAAAGCGCACGCCAGATCTTCCTCCTCCAGAGCTGCGGAGC